TATTATTAACTGTATATACACGCGTGTTTTTAATATATGTACAAAAAATAATCGGGAAAACGATGGTTCTGATGTGTAAGATTAATATTATATATTAATAACGATTTTTAATAATAATAATTAAGGCACATGATGGAGAGACCAGAAGCGGTTAGAAGCTGCACAGTGAGCTGAATCCCATGGTGCTACTTAAACACAAGGAGCAACCGCAGGATTCAGCGCATTGTACAACAGAAAGCAGCATATCCCAAGCAATCGTATGGGTGGATAAAAAAAGCAACGAAAAATTAAAAAAGGAAGACCTAATTTTGGGCTTTATTTACTTAGTAGTAGGTACAGTTAAAGCGAGTAATCAGTACATATCACGTATTAAAAATTTACTTTCGACAAGTAAGCAAAATTCTGAGAAATTCAAATCAAAATCTTAATTCTTTTCAAAAAGTGAATGTAGACAACATACCGTCAGAATACTGCTTACTTTTTCGTTTATTGAATTTTTTTAGCGAGGCATTGGAAAAGGCAAGGGAATAAAGGCATTACTTTATAAGTGATTAAATAAATGTGTTAAACTACTGATTAATTGTGGTATAATTAGTTTAATATAAGTTTCTACCAAAATTTGTTTAAATACTAATTAAAAGGAATAATCGTTAAAAAGGGTGAATAGTAGAGGAACACTTATGGTTTATTGTTTATTTACATTTGAGAAAGAAATTAATAATGTTAATGTAAGAAAAAATGTTTCCAAAATAAGAAACCCAAAATACGACTTTAAAAAGGTGTAAAGCCAATTCATGTATTATTGAAATTATTTACAACAAACGGACAGATAACTCATACAAGTTTTTTTAGGAGACTTCTAGGAAACTTGATATCTATTTTTTTATTCTAATACTTACTGATAATATATAAGTTAAGAGATATTTACCGAACTTTTCCTTATTTGTAGTCATAATCGATGATATTTTATGGGCGCGTAGCTAGAACTCTGCCTGTGATGTGGTACATTAAAAACAACACAATTTCACAGTCAGAGTCCCGGAACAAACCCACTTCCCTCCGGCTTTCTCCTCAGTTAAACCACATCGCAGAAAAAGACAGTTTTTCCCCACTTTCGTCACCAAAAGTTATCAGAGATTATACATTAAGATTAATAAAAAAAAGGACAAAAGAATAAAGCAAATTTTACCTGTGCTACTATGGTCGTCACTGTCAATTGAAAGCCGCCCGTCCAATGGCCCTAAATCTTCGCTTTCGTTTATAAGCATAGTCTTGAGCTTCCTGGTGCTTGGCATTGTACAAGAATCCAAAATATTGGTACTGCTACTGGTGGGCATGAAACCGTCGATGTAGGATCGTAACGGACCCGGCGACATCGTTAAACTGTCTATGTCCGAACTGATGCTGTCCTCGCTCTTGCAAGGCGAATTGGACGAATTACCGAACGTAAGACTTTTTGAATTATTCGGATGATAACCGGACTCCTTCGAAAACGACAAATTACGACAAATCTAAAACGGAAAAACAAACAAGATTTTCAATTAATACATGTACTTTAGTCAAAAACAAAATTATTCGTTTATTAGTTATTAGTAGAGACTTTCGCGACTAGTAGCTGAAATGATGCTGTCCTGATTCGGGTCTAAAGGCCGCCATCGGTTGTAGTTTCTTCCTAATGTTTCACTAGAATCTAGTCCACATAGAGCATCGGCGATGGAAAGACCTTTGAAGAGACTCGCTACTAGTGCTAGTGAAACGTTAGAAAACAACTCCAACCGACGACGGCCTTTAAACACGAATCAGGACAGCATCAGTTGACCTATTATCAATTGTTTGATATATTTTGAATGCAAGCCCCAATATAAAGACTTTTAAAAGAGTTGTTGATTACTTTAATTAGATAACAAAGTATAACTGATCAAATATATTATCAATTTTATAAATACAATACAACCTTATAATACATAACCAATTATAGCATTCATTGTAATGCAATTTTTTTAATAAACTCACCTCAGAAGAAACTGGCTTGTGTTGTGGTGTAGGGCTATCAAATAAGGGCACAGGTGGTGTGGCAATACTCAACAGTCCTGGACTAAGTTTAATGTCTTTAATATCCTTTAATAAGGGATCCATTGGCGGTATTTGCTTAGGTTTAGGAGGTGAAAAGTGCTCTGGACACAGAAAAACTTCTATCTCATCAGTTTCACTCTTCATTTGCATTTTGTACCCATCATCATGGTCCTGAGGCACAATGAGCTGTGAATCCGGAGGTGCTTTAATAGCCATCACAGTTTTGTGCTTGTAACGTCCAATAGACCTCAAATCTTGATAGGTCACATACCCATACCTTCTATTTTTGCTAAGTTTGTGAAGTTCTGTCTCAGCAGACTTAATTAGCTGATCCAGTTTGTTTTCTCTGTCTTCCAAGGCCCTCACTTCATCTTGAAGACAACTATAGGCATGACTACCCTTGCTACCACCCTTCCACTGTATGTTGTTTTTAGATTTCTTTTCCAAAATGCCTATGCCTTCCAAAACATTAGTTATATCATAAATTCTCCTCTTCTGAACCCCTAATTCCTTTGAAGCTTTGTTTAAATCTACCACCCCGTTAGATGAAACCTCTAGAAGCTGTCTAAACCTCTTGGTGAGCAGCCCTAAAGAAGTATCATAACGAGTGTTCTTTTTTGTAGGAGAGCTCTTTCTCTGTTTTTTAGGTTGTGGTGCCTTGAACTCAGGCTTTATAGGAACGACGACATGCTGCGTGTCCATATTAAGTTTTCTTTTTACTGTCGGAGCACTGCTGGGTATCGCCGAGGATATGATTTGGCTCTGTGGTGTAGCCCCATAGCCGTGATCTAACAAGTGTGGACTGGGGGTCGTTTCCGTTATTTCTTCTTTCATGGACCATTTCTTCGAATCCGTGTCAGGGGTAGAACTCGACGGTACTACGCGATACCCCCTGGGGCTCTCCATAGTAGATCGGCAAGTTCCTCGGTGCATAGCGAAATAGGTTTCTTGTTACGTCAATTCATTTCAAATAACCAAAATGGAGGAAAAAGCAGGTTCGTTTTTGAAAATCACGATCGTTACGACCTTTTTAGTAAAATCCCTCGAACATTTGACTGTAAAATAAATCACCCGTGCACCAACAAACAACAGAACCCTAATTTCAGTTAATAAACGCAAGAAAATCCCAAGCAAATAACTACAAAGTTAAGTACGTTAGGTTATACAGTATGGCATGGAATTTGGAAAAAATGTGCTCGCACTATTTTCGGAACATATTCTATGAAGTTTGATTAAATCAACGCAACCCCAACATAAGCAACCCCCCGGCGCTTGCTTCGCATACAAACACGTAACGCCGCCCTCTCGCACGCGAACGCCATCATAATGTACAACGGAAAATGTATACAGTAGAATGGTTAGATACTTACAATTTCAAGTTTGATGCACTAGAAAACTTGATCATTATAATCCCGAAAGCTCCAATAAAGGACTGTTTACCAACTAATTTAAAAAAAACAGCACATTTAAAATATTACTGAAAATGGTTGCCAAGCCATAATTGAAGGAGCAGCTGTGCCCACATCTCAAAAACGGTTCACCATAAAACTTGTGATCAACGGAAAACGGATTACAAACCACGACTTAAATCTACAAAAAACGATCTTTCGAATGGTACCAATTTCGGAATTGTATTTTTTTCGATTGCTCAGTAAAAAAATGTCGAATATTGGCTAGAAATGATCGGCGTGTTCATTCCTGCACCGGTTACAAACATCTGCCATCTGTACCGAGCAGTTGGCGCGAAGGGCTACGCATGCGCCGAAGACCGCTCCTCAGATGATAGCCCGGAAAAACGTCAAGTAATGTGACTGATGCCAACAAAAAAAATGCATTCAAACGATACAACTTTAATACTTCATCGTTAGCAATGCCCTAAAACCCACAGCTACTATCTTTTTTTGAAAATTTCAATTTGAAACATATTTTCACTCTAACCTAACCTTACTTTATTGAAAATAAGATAAATAACGTAAACAAACCAAACAAACATAATGACCATAGACGTAACATATAAAATTCCAAAGGGATTATAAATATATCTAATAAAGCTATAGAGCATACACAAATTTTTCTGTTTCCATATTTATTTAATTTAATGTTAATTACGCAACTTAATTATTAGCTCATAAATTGTGATCTTTTATTTAAATGATTTTAATTATTAAAGAAGATATTTACTTATTATTCTAACTTCTCCAAAAGATTTACCTCAATTGATAAAAGCGTCTTCCTAGAAAATTACATTAATAATTACCGAATTACTATTTACTGACTAACTTAATTACAGCATTATACGTACCTTTGGCGCTACCTGATACTAAAGGTGCTTTTCTTCTTGATCACAAAATTTCTTTTAAACATTAATAAAAGATAAATTCTCATTTAGAATAAATATATATACACTGATTTATAAACTTTCCTACGCCTACTGAGAAGAGATGAGAATTTATCTAGGAGTCGAAAAGTAACGGAAAACGACGATGACAAAGATGCCAAAGGAAACTATGAGGACGCGGGTAGCATTGGCTAACAACAAGATCCGTTACTGTTACTGGTTTTTATTAATATGAATTAAATTACAAATAATGTTATGGACACCGTGGTGTCACTTTGTACAGCTATGAATAGTAATATACAAGACACTAATTCTATATAGAACAATTATTTATGTAAATGTAAAAGCCTATACACTATAAGTGATTGATCTAAACCCGCGTGATGACGTAAATGCCCCCGTTATAACCAGTCTGAACTCTTTAATACAACCCCTACCTTATTTACTGAAAACTAATATCACCCTGATACGGAGTCGTTGTTATAGTAACTAGACCAGTTCCCATAACAACAGGCACGTGTACTTTACTAAAAAAAAAAAAGAGATGACTGTTGGGAGTAAGACAAGTTACTGTTCTGAATTTTGTTGCTTCGAAATGTACGTTATATATGTTAGTAATGTTAGTTTTTTTTTTTTAAGTTTAAAAAATGTACAGAACATAGTAAAGACACCACAAATTAATTATTTACATCCTCTACATTTTAAGTACAAAATTATATTTACACAATTTGATCGTTTCCTTTTTATTTATTTACTTCTTTTTTAACAAAGTATGGAATTGTTCGCAGTTGGAATGTCTACAACATATGATTTTTAACGTTTTTTCGAAAGGCAACGCCACTTTGATTAATTAAAAACAAAAATATACATATTTTGTGCATAGAGATCCGGTCGCTAAGATTTTTATGTATATTCTACAAAGTACACATATTAAACGCAGATTGAGCTCTGATTTCTTTTGTTTTTCCTTTCTAAAACAAAGAAAGTATAAGAATGACAAAAAATAAAAGCAAAAGCTCAACCTGCGTCTACAAATTGTTTTTTCTTTATTTACACGCTGTAGGTACACAAATACATTTTTAAAATAGTTTTTTTTTTGGTCTCGAACCGACAATTAAGTCGTGATCTTAAAAAAATCTTAGAAATATTGAGCATCGATTAATATGTATGTACTTAGATGGGGTTGCATTTGAAAGAGAAACGGGACATTTCGCTAATTCACCCGGGCATTTCTAAGTGAAAAACTATAGAATACCTGATATTAAACGTACCTCAAAAGCCTACATTTACGAAAAGTCTTGCCGAGCAACTTAAATTAGCCATTTATTAACTAGTAGTAGTAGTAGTAAAAACAATAGCAATAACAGCAAAAATTATTTAAAAAGAAAAAATATTAGAAAATGCGCTAAATGATCATCACAACTTAAGCTCCATATTACATATACATTTAATGATAATCATAAAAAGAAAATGAAACGTCTCATTTTTACTGTTAAAACGTAAAAAAAAATATTAAAAATAAAAAATTGTGGTTACACATATTTATGGTATACACATATTTTATACTAATACATCGTACACATTAATAAAACCGAAAAAAACGTAAGAGCAACTCTAAATTATTTATTAAAAAAACTAGGCGTGTGTCGCAA